GAACGACATCCATACCAAACACGATGGCAGATTATCAGATCATTATCAGATTCTCACAATGATATCGCAAGAATGAATTTTTCGCTGCCGTGCGCGCGCGACGTGGATTAACAACTGCTGACGCGGGCTTAAACGGGCCCACCGGTCCTATCTACGTCAATGAGCACCTCGCGCCGCACAACAAACAATTATACAAGCAAACCCGCCTTCTTGCCAAACAGAAAGAATACAAATACGTGTGATTGTCTGACTGTAAGATTTTATTGCGTAAAAATGATGTCTAAAGTTCAACTCATATCATGTTATGCGGATCTTAGTAAAATTAAATGACTGTATGTCGTTATCTATTTTAATGTTTTGATAGAATTTTTTTTTGTTACAAATACTTACATATTAAAACAACATTACCTGTTAAAAAGTGTTGTAGAATAAATTTCTCAGGTAACTTAAAATACTGTCATTGGTGTTTTCTATTATTTGTGAATGTTAGTGGAACCCATAATATTTCATTCTGTGATATTACTTTGCCGTATTTTCTGTATAGTGGTTTATAACAATAACTTGTCTATTTACTACCAAAACGTGAGGGGCTTACGCACAAAATCTCACGATTTTTTGAAGAATGTTCTGTGTAGCAATTATGTTGTGATATGTGTCACGGAATCATGGCTTAATAGTAATTTCTATGACAGTGAATACTTTGACAGTCGATACGAGGTGTACTGTTGTGATCGCAACGTAACGGTTAGTGGTGGGTTGGGTTGGGATGGGTGGCGACATACTGATCGCAGTGCGGCGCGACCTATGCCCGTTGCAGCTCCCTCACGAGTGCCCGCCGACGCAGGCAGAAGAGGTTTGGTTATATATATACCATTTATTGAAACATTGTCGCGTGCGGGCTATGTGTCGTTATCGCACGAGTCTTACACTACTCGATCGCCGGCTCAGCACCGCTTACATATTATAGCAACTTATATACCGCACGGTTGTAACCACGAATCACAATTGACATCGTTCTATACCAGAGTAAGCGATTTTATAATATCAAATCCCGACGATACTTATCTAATATAGTATATATTAGATAAGTATCGTAGGTATCGTAATATATAGTAGATAGTTTTACTACCGATTTTATGAACATATCGTCACTATTACAATACAACAATCAATTTAATATTAATAATCGATTATTAAATTTAATTTTCAGTAATACAACATGTAATGTTGCGCGAACTGAATTTTCGTTAGTACCCGAGGACGCGCACCACAAATCCCTAGAAATTAGTTTGAATTTAAAATCCCCCGCCCCATTACCCTCCGCCAAAATTAAGAAAAAAAACTTTCATAATGCTGACTTTGGCTCGATTAAAACTGGACTTAACACTGTTAACTGGGAGGAAATTTTTAATACCATGACGGATATTGATTCAATGACGAGTTATTTTTATAAAATTTTAAACAATTTGATAGATACATACGTACCTACTCAAAATCTTTGTAGCAAAAATAAACGCCCGCCGTGGTTAACTTCTTGCCTCATAAAACTAGAAAAGGAAAAGCTTAAATATCATAATAAATGGAAACTTAATAATAACTTACGAGACTACCAGACCTTCTCTTGTCTTCGGAAGAGGTTTAAGAGGATGGAGGCAGAATATTATAAAAAACTTTCTGAGGATAATATCAAAGCCAGTCCGAAGTTATTTTGGTCTTTCGTAAAGTCAAAAAAAGCTTCTAGTTGCATTCCTGAAAAAATGATATAAAATTATTTCCACAGGCGGTGAGATATGCGAGGCTTTTAATGATTATTTTCATTCTGTCTTCATCCCTTCTACCCGTCAAAGTTCTTATCATACAATTCCTTACTCAGGCAGTTCAGCCGTAGACATACAATCTATTAACATCTACCAAATATAAATCTACCGAATATAGTCATAAAAAATACAAAAAGTATTCACAATAAAAATTGTGGATCGAAATTATTTTTTTTAATTTTTTTTACACTTTATGTATCGATTTCTTATATTTACGCGAACACTACACATTGAATCAAACTACTTTTACGGATTATCATAGCTGACGTGAAACACCGACGTTCCGGGAAGTGTACTTGTTCACTTGTTTGTAATCATATCCTAGACGGCCCCAGCCATTACATTAGATTTGATAAACTACAAATTCTCGCGAAAGAACATCGATTCCTGCCAAGGAAGTTACGTGAGGCTATTGAAATTAAAAAACATCCTAATTTCAATAGAGAGGGAGGCTGGGTACTACAACCTGCTTGGGATCCTGTAATTAATAAAATTAAAACTAAACCCAAGCATACCGCTGCAAGACTTCAAGACACAGTATTAAGTAATTGTGCAATTGGATCACCAGTTTTCTTGCAGATCGGAGCATCAAGGTCGTAGTAGACGGTGCATGCTCCGATTACAAGCCCATCAACGCTGGTGTTCCACAAGGCTGCGTGCTATCACCAACGCTGTTTCTTCTGCATATCAATGATATGTTGCAAACCAGTAACATTCACTGCTATGCAGACGACAGCACTGGTGATGCTTTAAACACCGGCCATGCTAATATTTCTCGAGAAAACGTCGCCGAGTACCGGTAAAATCTTGTGTCTGAAGTCGAGAATTAGTTGAACAAAGTCTCCGACGAGGGGCGATTAAATCTAGTCCAGTTCAATCCCCAGAATACACAAGTTTGCGCGATTACCGCTAAAAAGAACCCCTTTGTCGTATCTCTTCAGTTTCAAGGCACTCCGCTTGTTGTCTACGCCAGTATCCGATTAATCGGTGTCAACATATCAAGTGACGTGCAGTTCCGTGGTCACTTGGAAGAAAAGGCCAAATTGGCCTCTAAAAAGCTTGGCGTGCTCAGCAGAGCGGGACAGTATTTGATGCCAGCACACCGCTTGCAACTTTACAAGGCGCAGGTTTGGCCTCATATGGAATACTGTTCCCATCTCTGAGCAGAGCCAGCTCCTTCCACTTGACCGCATCCAACGCAGAGCGGTTCGAATCGTCGACGACCGAGTTCTTTCCGATCGGCTTGACTCACTGGCACTACGTAGAGATGTTGCATCTCTTTGCGTTTTTTATCGCGTCGATCACGGGGAGTGCTCTGAGGAATTGTTCGGACTAATTCCAGCCGCTCAATTTTACCATCGCACACCGCCACCAAACTCGCGATACCATCTATACGATCTGGATGATTGGCGGTCCACCACTGTGCGATTTAGAAGAAGTTTTCTTTCTCGCAAAACTCCCTTGTTACCACCAGCGATTTTTCCGGACCGATACGACTTAAGGACCTTCAAGAAAAGTTCTTACTCCTTTTAAAAGGTCGACTACGTATTTGCAAGTCCCCTGGTGTTGCAGTTGTTAATGGGCGGCGGTAGTCACTTACCATAAGTTGAGACGCATGCTAGCTTGCCTCCAATCCTATAAAAAAAAAACAGTAAATTCATTCTGCGTAGATTGGACCAAAAATAATAATTAAAAAAGCTGAAGGTATTTCGGGTTAACTCTGGCATCGGGATGTCAATCGCCTCAGACCCCGTGACCAAGGGTGCTGTAAAGTACCCGAAACGTCGGTAATCAATAAAAAAGAAGTTGATTAAATGCGATAGAATCCGTAAAAATAGCTTTATTCACTTTGTGTATCTTAAAATGTTACGTACTTCAAATTACTATGACATGAGGTATTACACTATTTTAAAATACATGCCTATTTAATCAGCGTCAGAGCAATCATTCTTTGCCTAGATGATTAGTTGGATATGTTCTTTAAAATATTTTCATGTCTCATGTCATAGCAATATTTGAAGGACGTAACATTTAATGATACATAAAGTGTAAAAAAAAAATAATATTGAGACCCATATTATTTTAATTGTGAATACTTTTTGTAGTTTTTATGATTTTATTCGCTTGGTTAAAGCTTCAAAAAAATAAATAAACTTTAAACAAAGCATACAAAAAAAGGTTTTAGTTTTATTTAGGATATAATACGAAATTCTGGGTTATTATTGAAATATTTTAAAAATCCGTATATCTCAAGACATGTTCACCATCGGCCATAAATATGAGGGTCAAATTTGTAGCATTTTGACTATATCACGCTCTGCCAGGAATTTGTCGAGTTCCCAATAACCCTGTATTTCAATGTGTACCTATTTATGAGATAGGCCTCATCCATAATATGGAAAAAACATATTCCACAACTTTTCGTCTACAGCTAGTCTCATCCATGTCACTCGTCGAGCATTTTCCTCGATATCACCACGCCAGCGACGTCTAGGTCTGCCCCTGGCCCTGGTTATGTCCCTAGAATGCCAGCGCAACACTCCGTCGTACGCTCATCCAAGCAGATTTTTATAGCTTTGAAGTTTTAATGGCAATATTTTATGCCTTTGCTTTAAATACTTAACATTCGAAATGAATGTATTTTTACTTTAGGCTTATGAATGCATTTTAATTGTTCAATAAATTTACTTCTATGAAGTTTTATGACAAATTTATGGATAATTTATATAATTAATTATTGGCATTATAAATAATAATTAATTATAATGCGTCGCTACAATATGTATTAATATTAATTAACTGAAAACCTCATGAGTTAATTATTATTAATACATATTGTAGCGACGCATTATAATTAATTACTATTTATAATGCCAATAATTAATTATATAAATTATCCATTAATTTGTCTTAAAACTTCATAGAAGTAAAATTTTTCAGTCACAATATCCAAGCCAAGTTCAATAAATGGAAGAAGCAAATTCAAAGAGTCGTGGGTTCAGACCTTGTTGGTCAAAGTATCTAAGTAAATAGTAATAAATATACCTACATTTCTTACATTATACGCGTGTTGCGGTCCCGCTATCGCTGTGCATACGAGTAAATTATACTCCATGAAATCACGGCCAAAATATACCTATTATTTAATTTCCTAATATTTCTAATATTCCTAATATTTTTCAGCTGGCTACCTCTGCATGATAATGGGTATCATGTTCACCTGGCCATCCTCCACTGTGAGGCTCTTCTCGTCTACAAACACGACCCTCAACCGACCAATGACGGAGACAGAGGTTGCCCTTTTAGGCAGCCTGCCTTCAATCAGCGCCTTGATAAGCATACCATGTGTCAGCTACATTATAGAAACTATTGGAAAAAAGTATTGTTGTATGATGTTTTCAGTGCTTCAAGTAGTAAGTATAATTTATAGTGAGCATTTAAGAGCGATTTTGAGAGAATTGTTCTGGGAAAAAATGCCATTAGTTTCGCCTGACGGCAACGGTCTCTAAAAACGAACTCACGAAAACCAACAATGTGCCTACAAATAATTGTTTAGGATCTGAATATCTGTAAACATACAAATTATATAAATATAAAACAGAGCAAATCTACTGTTAAACATGGACCTCTCCTACTTGTAGGGAACATTTTCTTTGGCGCTGCGTCATACCATTACCTATCGGAAGCCATAAGATATTTGGTAACCCCATAAACGCATCTTACAACACCCACTTGTATCGTGTGCCACACTACATTGCATTCGGTAACAACACTAAGCAATAAACACTCTCAAATCACAAAATCCTTCAAGTCGAAAGTGTTAGTATTAAGACTATGAATTATAGTGCCACAGTTTATGATACATCGGAAACTAATACAACGCCGTGTAGAGGCAGCGTACTTATATTGTAAAATCTCATTTGTTGACAACGGAAAATAAAACAGAAGATGGGCAGCAACTTCCTGATAACAATTTAAACTGCGGTTAGGAAGCTATCTTTAAAGTGTGGCAAAAATGGCACATATTTGTCCCATGTTTATCAGTAAGCTTTCGATAGACTGTAATAAATAAATTAAAAATAATACAACTCGTTAACCAAGTTAACATTTTAATAGGCACTACTGCTACATTTTCTGTTACTCTGTTTGTATTAGTAGCATTAATTGGTTTATGAAAAGTGGGAATGGTGTTTTTTTTTTTAATATTAAATAAATTTTGAATTAAGAAGATTGAATGAACATCCTACCAACATACGGATATCTAAAAATTCAATATGCCTTATCCCTAAACGTGGTTGAGCCATTCTACAGCAATTACGTCTGCAGTACAAATGAGTCAGTTCGACCGGGGTAGGACCATGCTCTCACAGAATACCAGCATAAAAAAGGCAGCGTACGTATATTGTGTTTCATTTTTTATGTTGAATAAAGAAAGCGGATATCCTATTATAACCAGAAATGAAGCATTCTGTTTTAGTTCTCAGGGCTTATAAGGGTAAGTCATATCATTACATATGTAAATTTTCCTACCTACTTATAGTATAAAAATATTTTAACTTTTACAATATTCTTGTTTGAATATTTACTCAGGCCTTATTTTATTCACAGATCAATTGGGTCATTATAACTGTTAGCTACAATGTGGAAGCAATCCTCACGGCTATTTTTCTGTCTGGACTCTGCAACGGTATATTAATGGTTTTACCGATCTACGTCAGCGAGATCTGCCAAGACTCCATACGAGGGAGGATGACGTCAGGCGCGATGGTCTTCTGCAAGATTGGGATGCTAGTTTCTTACCTCATGGGAGGCTATTTGAAATACGACGTCATGAACTACGTCTGTTTATCCATGACAGTGCTTGGAGTGGTTCTTATATCTTTCTTGAAGGAGTCACCGATGCATCTGATGAGGAAAGGCCATGAGAATGTAAGTTCAATGAAAAAAAAAGCACCATTTTGCGTTCTTCTTCTTCTTATCTATCATCCTTACACAGTTCTAATGCTCATAGGTAATAGTCTCTGGTATCAATGGGCTACGGAATGCAATATCGTGCAGTGAACTCTGAGATCGTTTGGTACCCTTGCTTTTATGAAAAATATAATCGTCTGCATAAGGATGTAAACAGTCCACTACATCTTCCATAAACCTGTCATACCTGGCAGGATATCTAGCAATTGCACGATAACACCACCTCATACTTTTGACGGTTTTTCCCGTCCCATGATCATCACGATCATCATTGACGGCTCCGTGGCGCAGTGGCTTAGCAATCAGTTGTTGCGCTGGTGGCCGCGGGTTCAAATCCCGCACGGAACAAGTATTTATATGCCATATAGGCCATAGCCTACAAATAATTGTTCCGGGTCTGGATGTTTGTCCTTGTGCAATTTATGTTTGTAAACTGCCTCCACGACACAGGAGAAAATCCTAGTGTGGGGGTAACGTTTTTTAAAAAAAATAATAGCATAATAATCATAATAACAGCCCGTTACAAATCCATTCCTGAACATAGGAGTCCTCCAAGGAGTGTCACTTAACATGGTCCTGAGTCACCTGCATGTATTAAATTCCTGCATTTCTTACGAAGTCGTCACAACTTATAGTGGAGAGACACCGTAAACTTCGCTTATCGGTACGAGTATACCCCTCAAGAATCAATCTCTCCCATTGCATTGTACAAACAGTGCGTGTTGCCAATGATGACCTATGAATGTGAGACGTGATATTTCACTGCTGGCCGTATGAGAAAGCTCAAGGTCGCTCAGCAAGCTATGGAGAAGGCTATGCTCGGGCTCAAGTAGTACACAAGCAATATAAGCAGACACTGTATCGCTCTCTTGCTGTATAACAGCTGTTTAAGGAAGTTTGTGTGTTTTAACCTATATAGAACAGATTATTATATTTTTTTATTAGGATAGGGCGACAAACGAGCACACAGTCGTCTTGATGGTAAACTATTTTGACATTTGAGGAGCTTGCCACTGTATTCTGTAAAATTGAGACGGTACTCAACTCTCGGCCACTCTGTCCCCTCTCGTCCGATCCGAATGATTTGGAGGTTCTAACCCCGGGCCACTTCCTGATTGGCCAGCCACTTAACGCCCTGCCCGAGTACCCCTTCAGGGAAATAAACTCTTCGCGGTTGAGCAGATTTGACCTGCTGCAACACATGACTCAGAGTTTTTGGCGCCGATGGTCTCTGGAGTACCTACATCTTTTGCAGCAGCGCGTTAAGTGGCCTGACAAGACGGATCCTCCTCGGATTGGAGACCTCGTGTTAGTTAAGTGTATAATAATGTCTTTGTGGTTGCTGTAGCCCATAGACATCTACATTTGTCCTCGTTTGCGAATCAAAATGCAATTGTGTTGTCACCCGTGAGGACTTAGATGCAATGCCTCTTTTCCAGTAACAAGGGTCTCCGGTTCTCTACACTCACCATACGAAACACAGCAGTGTGAAGCTGCTATTTTACGCTGGTATTCTGTGAGAGCTTGGTACTTCCCCGGTCGAGCCGACCCATTCGTGCTACAACTATACTACTACTACTAATATAGCTGCAGCATGGCTCTAACAAGTAAAAAATTTAAAAGCATAGTGATAAAGTAGCCGCTTAGTAGTGACGATAATGGCTTTGGAGTTACAAAGGCGTTTGTACAGCTTTTTAAATGGCCTTGGATAGAAATTCGAGTTATAAATACACTTATTAACACTATGAGTAGAATAGTTCGATATAAGCACCAAAAGTGGTATACTTGTGAAATATAGCATGCTAAATATAGCCACTGTTTGCATTAGACATGCTAAAGATATTTAATACGGCTATAAAAGTTTTAATATATCCTGTGTTAGTAATGTAAATCCTGTACAAGAATTTTAATAATTTCACGAATTTTTTTAATGAATTCATTTATGAATTTGCCTTGCGTGTTTTAATAAAATTTATTCAAATTACAAACAATTCCTAAATTTTTTCTATAGTTAAAATGTTCTTATAGTGCTTTTGTATCTCAAAATTAGTAAAAATACTACATAGTTTGGTGATTCTAAATTTTAAAGCTCTAAAATAATTAGAACTTGAGCTGTACTATTAAATTAAACTAATTTTTACGGATTTTATCGCGTTTAATTTTGAATTCCCGACGTTTCGGGTGCTTGCCCATGGTCACGGGGGGGAGGGGGTTGTTTGACTCATTTCCCATTCTTTGGTTCAGTTTCCCTTAGCCGCCTCTTACTATACCTACGGGATGATATGGCGTAGTAGATTAACCAAGTAGTAACGTCTCAAAAGATTTTATATCTAGTACAAACACGAGGTGGTAATATCGTCATATATCTAAGACCAAAATTTTTTGGGTCTCTCTCTGAACCTGTTTTTGCTAATTTACGGAATAAGATGAAGTGCCTTCTTTATCTAGTCAGTTTTGGCCACCCAAGTGATACAATTTGAGTCTTTTTACATAGTAAGCCAGTACTTGACTAAAATCTCACCTGATGATGTAATAAGCAATGTAGTCCTAGATTGTGACCCGGGTTGGCTATGATATCAGATTCACTAGTAGGTCATTGTGCCGCACGGATGATTACCCAAGTCGCCAGGGGCTAAAGTTCCCACCGTCCCTTATGACAACACCGCATGCCGAACTTATACGCGTATGTTTATTATGATGTCGAATATTTATAGGAGGCTGCACAAGCAATCGCATTCTACAGGGGCACGTCCACCAATTCCAAGCTGGTTAAAGAAGAATTGCAAGTGCTTCGACGGGTGCTTAATCCGGATTTGGGTGGTAGGAATCATAAACAATTGTCGTTGTTCTTAAAGATACCAAATAGTAAACAAAGTCCACATTCGGACATACAGTCTTAATATCAAACCAAAGTAGAATTTATTTTCTGCCTAGGAGTCCGTCTGGGTAGAAACCAGCCCCTATTTATTTCTGCCACCAAGCAACAGTGCATACAACTCTGTTTTCCGGTCTGATATGTATAGAGCCACCACAATTACATACAGTAAGGCATCCCACCATAGACCTCAAATATCGTCACGCATCTGTAGCCTTTATACTGCTCAATAGAAGCAAATATCTATGCAGCCAAATCCTTGGTCTAGTTAAAATATTGTTATAATAACGAATCTGCATTTTGATTCATAATCGAGGATAGATGTCTATGGGCCACAGCATCGATTTAACACCAGGTGGACAAAAGGTACATTTGCTTTCAGTCTCATAGTAATATATATTATTGCCCTCGCCTGAAATAAGAGGAAATGCTCTCTGAATATTTTATACTTATATATATATATGTATGGTTTACTGTATGCTGTACTGTGTGCTGGAACATTAGGCACGCCATCCTACACATTCTTCACTTTCACGTACTGCACAACTAAAGACAATGTTTATAGTTACATTTTTATAAGGCCTTTGAATTCTTCTATACTATGTCTTAGCACCACCACCATGTATTTTTATATTTTTTTCTTAGTTACTAGTCGGCTTTTCTTTTTTTATAAAAGTTATTATTTTTTAGCCTATTATTGCATTATTATTTGCGACTTCAAATTACCCTACCTGGAATGACTATCAGATGGTCCATCTGTGATACCTGTTAATTTAGTTACTGATACGACTAAACAATTGTCTTATATCATGGCTTTTATTAATTTGAAATAAATAAATATATCAATAAATAAGTACACTAGAATTGTAGATCTTGTTTTATGCAATATACCTAAATGTTCAGTTAATATATCTGATTATCCACTCTTAACAGCGGTTCCACAACATCATCCGTTGGACGTTTTATATGCAACAACTCAATGTATGTGTATGCCCACCAACTAAAAGACAAATATAAACTTTTTCAAAGCACCAGACTATTACCAATTTAATACCGCAATATCAGAGACTAAACTGAACTTATAATACAATTTTCACGCGTCTCAAAATTATTTTTAATAAATGTTTAGAAACTGGAATTTGCAACTCAATGCGAACAAGCACATATCACGCCTATTCACAAATTAAGTTCAAATTAAAAAAAATATACAGAATGTTTGGAAGATAGGTGCATATTAAGCTAAACCTGTCTTAGGTGAAGTCTGCTCCTTTTTTTAATTAAATTTCTTCGAAATTTTAACGATTAAACCTATATTTTAACATTTAACATTAAACCTGTATTTTTTTCAATTAATTGCTAATAGTTTACAGTAATAATTGTTATGTTATTATTTTTTATTTATGTAATGTATGATTACTCAAGCAAAATAATTTCCAAGTATAATCATCATCAGAAAAATATTCTATGCATATTTAAGAAAAAAAAAATACAAAAAAACTTAAGGAAATGTTGTGTTTACGCTATTATAAAAATTAAATTAAATAGCCTTTGTTGTTGAAACTATCTTAAAAGCATGCTTAGTTATTGACCTTTCTTTTGGGCTATTATTTACGCAGATGTCTCATTAACTCTTGGAATTAGGAAATTAATTGAAAAAATGGTTTTATTGTTTAAAACCTTAGAAATTCAATTAAAAAAGCAGACTTCGTCTAAGGGAAGTTTTGCTTAATAAGTTCTAAGTCGATTAAGGTATCATCCCCTTCAGGATTTACACCCATTTTCCAAATATCCTGTATTATTAGAGGAACAACCCGGTTTTGTGAATGGCAAATCTACACCGACAAATCTTCCCTGACAAATCTTCTTGTTTTTACATACGTTCTTTTTTATAGTATGGATTTTTAATTTCAGATAGAAACTGTGAAAAAAAAAACGATTTAGCATTCGATAAAGTTGATCAGTTTTACTTTGAAAATACTCAATGGTACCAAAAGTAATCTTAATAGCTACATTTACTCACCTTTTGTAGTTACATCTGGCGTACCACAGGGATCAATATCAGGGCCACTCCTCTTTATCCTATTTATTAATGACATTTCAACTTGCTTTGACCACTGAAAATTTGTATTACACGCTGATGACTTAAAATTGTACTCTATGACATGAACTTAATACACAATAACTTACACAGACTTAACTATGTATTATTGTAAATTGAACAAACTGTTTATGGCTTTTAATAAATGCAAAAATGAAGTACATGCAAACTTTTACTTGTTGGTGGTAATAAAATCGTTTCAGAGTCTTATTATTATGAGTGTTATTGAAGTATATCTATATACGAAACACAGAGTATGTAGACACTTTGAAGAAATATTTAATAAATTTTACGGAATGCTAGGCAATGTTACTCGTATAATTTCAACATAAAGATACTCTACTCTTATCTGCTTTTATTAGTCGTTGATCAAATGTCATCTAGAATATATGTCCCTCGTTTGGAATCCATTCTACTCGGTTTAGTAAGATAACATAGAAAAGGTGCAAAAGAAATTCCTATGGAGTGTCAATTACCTAATGCATTCACCTCGCGATTTCTATAAAAATCTTTTAAGAAAATGTCGAATGCTATCATTACAAAGCTGACACACTTTAATGGACGCGACTACTTTTAGAAATATCTCTGTTTGTAAGATTCAGTTATTATCTGAGGTAAACTTTCGAGTACAACACATAAAAAAACACGATTAAAAAATTTGTTTCATATACTAAAAACCAGGATCAGCATCGGTAAAACAACAGTATACAGAATGTGTGTCCTCGACAAAATAATGCTTAAATTCCTCTATATGTTCTCTATCTCTCGTTAATAAATATTTCAGTACATTACAAGGATTTCTATTGTTTATTTTAGTTTTAAGTTTATTGTTTTCAATTATATTTCCTCTTAACCTAAGTATATACTTGTTAACCTGCTTCATAATATACGTATTATATATTTACTCAGTGAGACCGTGAGTTTGAAGGAAACAATTGCAATTTCTTTGTTTATCATTTTGGTATGGTTTTTTTTTATATCTTTTGCTTCTGTTTTGTCTCCAATAAAGTAAATAAAGTATAAGCCTTTGAGTGGACTAAAGAATATTATAATCCCAATGTCATCTAAATAGATCCATTAAAATTCCATCCCCTATTTTCCGACCATAAGCGCTGAAAATTGTTTCGAAATTGATATAAGTCTACCCCTGAAGTATAAGTAAGCTATTTTATAAAAAGAATCATCAAAATGCATATAAAAGACACGCAGAACCTCCTCCTGCCCTTTTATTGAAGTTGATAAAAACTGATTAATGATTCAATTTAATTTACAGATACCACCCCTGAAGAAGAGAAACTAAGGTCTGATTTAAAGGAAAACTCTAAAGTTTCCTGGTGGCAATTTTTAAGTAAGTATTCGTTTTTTTCCTTTATGTATTAATAAGAAAAGAAATTTTCAGTAGCAGCCTGGAGTCAAGATGTTGGCGACGTTTTATCTCTGTGCGTCGAGAAGCATGAAAAGCCGTTTTTCCTGAGCCTGATTCTTTTCCGGTTGGATCTAATTGTCGCTCTAGTAGTCCTAACAGAGTATGAGAGTGAGAGAATAGAGAGTACACTTTTGCTAATGCACACACTAGTGCATTCATTATAATCCTTAACTACGCTTATGCCTATTTTAAGTTGAGATCGCCGTGTCAAAATTCAGTTAGGGTGTCCCCCTTTTATGACGACTTATATTTATAGGAATACTACACATTAAATATAAACAAATTTTACTGAGCTTATCGCCTTTTAACTTTTTACATATTTTTACTTCCGACACGAGTGCAGTACAGCACCCGCGGTCACGGTAAAACTAATGTATTCAACGTCCTGGTGTCATATTATAATTTTTTTGAACAAACTATTAAAAAAATACAGTGACATCACGATGGAGATTATTACCCGTGCGATTATGACAAATTATTAAAAATTACTTTTGATTACTTATATTAATTTACGCGAAAAATACACATTGAATAAAACTATTTTTTACGGATTTTATCGCGTTTAATTTACAATTTAATTCCCGACGTTTCAGGTGCTTTCCAGTAACCCATGGTCCTCCCCCGTGACCATGGGTCGACAACTACAACGTCGGGAATTAAAATCGTAATTTAAATGCGATAAAATCCATAAAAAATAGTTTTATTCAAAATTACTTTTGCCAAAGTCTGTGCCACGTTGTGGCCGCGTAAAGGAATCCACAGAGATCGCTACAGAGAGAAACAGAAACATAAGATGGGATTTCTTTCCAATAACATTCGTTACGTGGTAGAACCATGCTGCAGCTATATTATGTTTGTAGCACGAATGGGTCGGCTCAACCGGGGTAGGACTGCGCTCTCACAGAATACCAGCGTGAAATAGCAGCTTAATGTTGTTTTTTTTTATTTATTTATTAATGAATTTATGATACAGTGGTGTTACTTAATTCTAAACTCGCTAAACTTTACGTTTGATGGCGAGAAGCGCTCTTTTACAAAACAATGAACTACCTTATGAACTACTAATATTAGACACAATGATACACAATTATTTAATAAAGTAATATATAAACCTATGACATTTTAATGTTATGTTAACTATATATCTTTATATACATGTAACTTTAATTAGTGTTTCGTATGGTAAGTGTAGAGAACCGGAGACTCTTTTTACTGGACATGAGGCATTTCATCTTAGTCCTCAGGAGTGACAATACATCTGCATTTTGATTCTTAATTGAAGATAATTGTAGATGTTTATGTGCCGCAGCATTCACTTACCATGAGGTGGACTGTGTGCTCGCCTGTCACCCTTTTTCTATAAAAAAATATAACAAATAATATAAAATTACGTTTCCCAACCCATCTGCAAAGCGGAGCAACTATGGCACTGACAATCTAAAGGGGCCGATAAACAGCGGTAGATTTTGATAGGCTGCCATATTTTAATGGATAAATAGAAGCGAACATTGTGCATTCCAGTTAAAACATGTTATAACAGCAATTTACATGTTATAACAACAAAATGCAATTTAAACTAGATACAGGTTCTACGTTGAATGTAATATCGAAAACTTATTATTTTAACTTAGGCATGTCGTTTCATAACCGAATCGAGCATGTACGAATTTTTTTTCTAAAAGTAAGCGTTATGTACATATTACCATTTATTGTAGCAGATTTAAACTGTCAAATTTAAACTCTGGAAGGCTGTGTCATATTAGGACTTGTATGGATGCTATAAATATACATAAAGATTCTGATCTCTTTCAGGAATTGGGTAAGTTACCTGGGGAGAATTCTATTGTCGTGGAGAAAAATGTACAGCCATTGATTAATACAGTTGATTTTTTTAATAAAGGTGACAAGTAAGCACATGGTCCACCTGACGGTAAGTATATGCTCTGGCCTGTAGATAGATCTCTTCTCGATCAAAAATCAAAATGTAGATGCGTTGTCACTCCTGAAGACTAGGGTAAAATTTTTCATTACCCTACACTCAAAATACGTAACCTAGCATTATTCTGCAATTTCACCGTGGTATTATTAATCCTGCCCCTAACCAACCCATTCGTTTTACAGCCATAATAAACCTGTAGCATGGCTCTACCACGTAAATGTTTTTATTATTGCCTTAACAGAAAAATCAAGGTCGACCCGAAAAGCTCTCATCGTGATACTACTGTTAAACACGACGGTGATATTCCAAGGTATGATAGTGGCGCAGGTGTACGCGGAGCCTCTCTTCGCCGAGGCTGTGCCCTCAATGTCGTCAACGAACTGCAGTGTGATCTTCACGTTAGTGACCATTACGGCTGGCTTTTTTGGCGCATTCTTGATTGAACAGGCGGGGAGACGGGTGAGACTAAGACTTATGCTTAACTTTTTCCTCTGGTAATTATTGTATTTATAGAAGTAAGACAGTAAAAACTAGCACACAATTCACCTAATAGTAAGCAAATGATGTAGCCCAAAGTCATCTACATTCACCAGCAATTAAGAATAAAAATGCAAGTTCATTTCCACCCCAGAGGACTAAGATGGGATGTCTCATTTCCAGTTAAAAGGATCTTCGGTTTTCTACACACACAATATGAAACACAGCAATATAATGCTGCTATTTCACATTGGTACCCTATGCAAGCGTGGTCTTAAGACCACGCTGTTGCTGCAGTCGTTGTACGCTTTAACGTGGTTCTCTACCACGATGCCTCATGGACAGGACTTGGCTCGATTATCCAGCTTTATTAAACGTTGTTATTTTAGGCGAAACATCAAGCTAATAATGACCCGCAAACACTGCAGCCACTTGCGTAAATCGAAAGTGATCGAAGCGCTAATATGTTATAAGTGTTTGTATTAATTAATAGCGATTTGTATTTTGTTTAGCCAAAAATCTTACTTTCCACTTTTTGCCTATACAAACATTTGTGTAATATGTATTATGTGAAGCAATTTAATAAAAGCTGATAAACGAACAGACTCTTCAACCGGCACGTAGATGGTAGACACTCGTCTAATAAGAAACAAAATGCGATATGACAACCGATAACTAAAATGGAATACCTTGTTACTAGTAAACAGATTCCTAATTCTTTTTACCCACCATACGAAAGTTGAGGTTCATGTTGTAAGGATAAAGAACTTCAAACAAAGATGGTTACATTTGCGTTGTCAAATCTTAGGACAAAGATGCAATGCCTCATAGCCTGTAATTACACTGGCCCACTTCACCCCTCAAACAGAAACACAGCTAAACTGCTAGCCTCATCTTTCACAAAAATGCGCGCAAAAATTACGCTTCTATCTTTACACGTACGCTATCACAAGATGCAAAAACCGATCCAGGTAAAAAAAAAATACAATTAAAATGATTGAATATCGCAAAATCAGCTGATATTCAATAATTTTAATTATATTAAGATAAATACTACTGTCCATCTCCTGTTTCATCACCCTCTGTTGCCTTTGACGATATCATCGGGTTTATATGGCGTAGCGGATTCTCTAACGCAACCAATGGCTTCCACGTTAAAGTTAAAATTGCAGCCTATATCGACGTTCCACTGCTGGACACAGCCCTCTTCTCATTTCTGAGAGGGCTGCCTAATACGTGTTGAACTTCACGTGCCTGCGAATTTATTTTCCTATTTTTAAGACATGCAAGTTTCCTCACTATGTTTTGCTTCACACACGTGGTAAATCAGTATTTAAAATTACAGTTAACAATTTCACGCTTCCACGTTACTAACTAAAATTTAATTACCAATTTCAGCTGTTAATGATCTACGCTTCCATTTGTACTGGTATAAGCTGCGTGATCCTGGGTACCCAAATTCAGCTGCACTGGGGCCCGCACTGGGTGACAGCAATTTTCATGTACATATTCAGCTTGACTAACACGTGCGGAGCGGGGACCGTTCCCTGCGTATTGGCTGCAGAGATATTCCTACCAGAGGTTGGTATACATTTATTAGTTTTTAAAGGAGCTACTAAAGTCTTTAGGGCGACGGTAGAAGACCATAAGAGCAGACGTAGGTTATATAATCTTTACCATAAAAGGTCATATAATCATAGCGTCCAATTTAGGGAATATGTAAAAAATATACAAAAATATTTAAAAGAGTGTGCTCCACAGCCAATTCTTTGCATTTGAGCAACAAAATTAAGACGGCTTCTAATAAAAATAAAATAACATGGAGTATAATTAATAGCGAAACTAGTAAGATCAACTCTCGCAATTCAAACTACCAGTTAAGTGTTAGCAACAAATTAACTGAATCAGATCAGGACGTTGCAGTGGTTATTGAGAAATATTTTACTGATATTCCAATATTAACCACTAAGTCACTAAATTCTTCTCCTGCCTTCGCTGCATCATTACTTAAACAAAATGTAAATGCGTGTACAAAAAATTTTACATTTCATAAAGCATCATCAAAAGATATTGTAAAATATTTTGAAACTACTGATGTTAGGAAACTGCGGATCCGTGGGGAATTTCCGTTAAAGTTATTGCGTCTATAATAGATACAATCGTGCCTCATTTAGCTATTATTTTTAATGCTAGTATCTGGTGTGTTTCCATATTTAATGAAGTATAGTAAAGTAATACCTTTATTTAAATCTGGTAGTACATTAGACTCCGCCCATTTTAGTCCTGTTTCTGTACTACCAACACTTAGTAAGATATTTGAAACAAATATTCTTAATCAAATGTTAAATTTCTTTAATGTAAATAATTTACTTCATAAAAATCAATTTGGTTTCACAAGGGGTCGCTCCACAACTATCGCCGGTGTTGAGCTGATTAAATATATCTTTAATGCATGAAAGAATTCACAGGATGCTTTGGGTATATTTTGTGATCTATCCAAGGCCTTCGATTGTGTTCACCATGAAACATTAATCAGGAATCTTTAACACTACGGTGTAAGAAGTGATGCTCTTAAATTAATTATTTCATGTTTAAGTAAGAGAACGCAAAAAGTTGTCATTAACAGTATGAGCTCTTCCGGGTCGATGGCACAAATGGGCGTGCCTCGAGGCTCAATTCTCGGCCCCTTTCTGTTTCTTGTGTACATTAATGACTTTCCTTACATAGTAGGGGATAACCATGATATAGTATTATTTGCAGATGACACTTCTTTAATTTTCAAATTAAGTCGACAATTACTAAAATATGACGAAGTAAATAATGCCACATCTAAATTAGTAAATTGGTTCAATGTTAATAATTTGCATTTAAATGGCACTAATACGAAATGTATGAAATTCATGACTACAAATGTCAAACAATTAAATACTAATGTAATTTTAAATGGGCAGAAACTGAATCTTGTAGATACCACCATTTTTCTTGGAATTACAATAGACGCGAAGCTTCAATGGAGCACCCATCTACCAAAACTAGCAAGCAGACTTAGTTCTGCAGCATATGCTGTAAAAAAGATTAGAAGTCTTACCAGTGCTTAAACAGCTAGAATAGTTTACTTTAGCTATTTCCATAGCATAATGTCGTATGGTATTTTACTATGGGGACACGCAGCTGACACTGGAATTATATTTGTTTTACAAAAGAGAGCGATAAGAGCAATTTATGATTTAAAGCCTAAAGATTCGCTGCGACAAAAATTGAAGGAAATTAATATATTAACTTTAGCCTCTCGATACATTTATGAGAATGTAATGTACGTACACAAAAATAAAAGTAGTTTTACAAAAATAAGTGATATTCATTCTGTAAATACTAGGAACAGACACAAGCTAGTAGTACCAGTTACTCGACTCCATCGAGTCAGTAATTCATTCTTGGGGCGATGTATATGCTTTTACAAAAAAATTCCAGAAAATATACAAAATTTAACCTGCCCAAAGTTCAAAAACTTTATAAAACTAAGTTTGTACAAAAGGGGTTATTATAATATTAAAGAATTTATGCATGATAATAACCCCTGGAAATGAAGTGATCGCTATCAAGCTATTTCTAATTTGTTGTGTTGTTAATTTATGTAACATACATGATTGTAAGCTGTTATTTTTCAAAAAAAGTCCCGCTGGGTTTCTTGCTGGTTCTTCCCAGGACAGAGGTTTTTTCGTTTTACCGCTGGTAATTAAACAAAAGAGTGACTTTCAATAATTATTATTTATAATCTATATTGAATAAAAAAGTTTCTGTTTCTGTTTCTTTAAATGAACATATGCGTCTCCCATAGATTGCCCCATAATTTTCCTTATACATGCTTTACGGTTGTGTTGTCAGCCGTATTTTTTTTAAATATCTTTGATTTTTTTTACTAGGATCAACAAACAGTTTACACAATATTTCTTAATATTAAATTCACTACAAAAAATGTATTAATAGCTCTTTACCTATGAAATTGCCGTTCTGATCATTTCAAATCTAAATAATTTTTGTTTGGCTTAGAATTCTAATTTCAAGTTAATTTTATTTAAAAAACATGGAATTCAAAATAAGTCATTTGTTTAGCGTTATGTTTTCATCGCATTTGAATCTTTTTCGTCGTCATGGAAACGTCAAAAATTCAAGTTATTATGGAATATGAGCACGCAACATCAACTACGTTTAGAGAATACTTCAAACGAACGCACTATCTGTTATTGGTTTGCCCTCTTCCTTTATTGAAAGTTTGGCCTGAAAAATTTACTCCATTGTCATCCAAAAACTCTGGTCGACAATAAAGAATTAAAGAAGATTGTAGAAGCTACTCAATTTACAGCTGAAAACATCAAAGCATCAAAACTGTTAGCATCAAAGCAAAAGTGGTCCATTTGCGTCAAATTGGCGAGGTAAAAAGCCTTTTTACCTTGCCCATTGGGTGTCACACGAACTCAAACGTAAAATGGATTCTATTTAACAATCGCAAGCGCTCAACAAGCAGGTTGAGTCCTGGTTCAGCACTTAAATAATGCTCTAAACGAAACTTACCCCCATAAATGTGATGGTGATCACTGTTTGGGGGTCTAGCGCTGGTGTGATTCATTACAGGTACTTACAAAAAAGGATGAGCATTACTGCAGATGTGTACTGTGAAGAATTTAACACAATAATGGAGAATCTCGCACGTCTCCAATTAGCATTGGTCAATAGCTCGTCTCCGCTGCTACTGCTCGACAACGCGCGACTTCATACTGAACAACAGATGGTGAAAACCATTGGCCGTATACCGGAGAAGTTACAAGAGTTGGGGCTAGAAGCTCTCCGTTATCAGCCATACCCATCAAACCATTCGCCTACACACTTCTACTTTTTCTAAAATTTGGATAACTTTTCTTCAGGAAAAAAATTCAATACCCGAGAGGCAATACAAAATATTTTTAAAGAATTTGTTACCTCCCGTGTTGCTGATTTATTCAAGAATTAGCATTAATAAACTGTCAATGCGTTGGCAAATGTCTTATAGAAATAAAAAATATAACGAAATTAGCTTATTCCATAAGAAACAGCAATTTCATAGGTAAAGACTATAATTATGATAATGCAACTAATACTTTCGAACACTGATTACGTATTAACAAATGTTGAAATTGATAATAGCGTACAGTTTTTTCAACCAACACAATGTTTGTTTTTAAATAATACAATATTAATATTAATTATTGTTATAACCAATTCCACATACCTACTCATTCTCTTCTGAGTACTGAAATTAATTATTATTTATAATTACCTCTCTTATGAGCTAAAATGTCAATATTATTGAAAGTATTGTGTGATATATCATTTGCTGTGTATATCTTCGATATATTTATATCGAGTTGTCACTTGGAAGATGCTAATGCTCATCAGGTTGTTTCATAGGGTTGTTCATTGTTCGAAGTTTTAATGTTATCAGGAAGGCGCTGCTACCCAACTCCTGGTTTGTTTTCCTCATTAGCAGATATTCGTACACCGCCACATGACAAATATAAAGAATAAAATAAAATAAATCAAAGTAAATAAATCAATATCTATCTGCGGGATCTACTCCTGTTCAAATAAATTTAATTCAATTTTTGTTATTTAACCCAAGATAAGCTCGAAGTTGTTGACGAGTATGTTTTCCTGGGACAAATAGTCTGACTAGGTAAGTCTAACTTGAGGCGGTGGTATGGGCTCTCTTGCCAGAGCGAGTGGGACACGTTCCCACGGCGATGGCTTCACCCTCAGCCACAGACTCTCCAGAAGAGGAGAGCACCGATGTCCCCGAGGTGACGCAAGCAGAGACGAGAGCAGCCGTGTCGCGAATCCGGGCTAAGAACACAGCGCCTGGACCCGACGGAGTTCCTGGTCGAGCTCTTGTCCTGGCTCTGAAGGAGCTAGAGCCCCAGCTGAGGGGGCTCTTCACGGCATGTCTCGAGCAGGGTCAGTTTCCCAGTGTGTGGAAGGAGGGGGGCCTGGTCCTGCTCAGGAAGGAGGGGCGCCTCGCGGACTCACCGTCCGCGTACCGGCCCATAGTGCTGCTCGACGAGGCGGGCAAACTTCTTGAGCGTATCATCACAGATCGCCTCGTCAGCCACTTGTGCAGAGAGGGGCCGAACCTGGACGTGGACCAGTTTGGCTTTCGTCGCGGGCGCTCCACCATAGACGCTATTACGCACGTGAGGGCCCTGGCGGAGGAGACAGTATCCCGGGGTGGGGTGATGCTGGCGGTGTCTTTAGACATCTCCAACGTCTTCAACACCCTACCCTGGACTTGTTGTGTGTGTGTTGACCTCCGCCGCATAATAGGGGCTTACCTTGAGGAGAGATGCGTCACATATTGGGGACGTGACGGCGCTGGTCGGCACGTTATTTCGTGCGGTGTTCCGCAGGGATCGGTCTTGGGACCGCTACTGTGGAACATCAGCTATGACTGGGTGTTGAGAGGTGAACTCCCGTCGGGCGCCGACTTGACGTATTTTGCGGACGAGACGCTCGCCACTGCCCGGGGGAGCTCGCACAGGGAAGCAGCGTTG